TATCCCGAAATCCATTTTTTGCAGTATTTGTAGTGCAGTGGTTGTTTTGTTTTCCAGAGGTTTCCCAATGCATTTCGATGAAAAGTCCATGTTCGCTGGACACAAAATGGAGGCCAAGACATTAAAGGTGAGACTTGGAGCTACAATAACAAAGTCTGTATGATGTTTTTCTTGTCTTTATACACTTGACTGGCAAAGTTTACTTCTTTTTAACCTTTTATAACTGGTTTCAGTCCCTGTTTGTGTCATTGGTATAAGGTGTAGCTATTAGCCGGGTGCCCCTCATTGCAAAGAGAAGCGGTCTAGTATTCAGACGGTTGTGAGTTTGATTTCAGCTTCCCCCACCATATTTAATTTTGTCCTTGGCCAAGTAGCTTAACCCCAACTTACCTATAAAGTTTCATTTCTGTGTATGACTGTGTGAGTATTGTGAGGGCAGCTAGATGAATAATAGTGGAAATGCACTTTGAGTTATCAGCATAACTATAAAAGTGCTTAGCTCATTTACCAATAAATCCAATTTGCTAAAAAAAAAACTCTGAACATCTGTGTCTCCTTTTCTGTCATTCAGGAAGAATTCCGGCTCCATTTTAAAAACATCTCCCGGATTATGGACTGCGTGGGCTGCAGTAAGTGTCGACTCTGGGGAAAGCTGCAGGTCAGTCTCTTATTACTCTGCTTCGCTTATCTTTGAGCCTTCTGACTCCATAGAGTAGTCATTCTAACCAGTGAAGTTACAAATGAAAGTAATGAATACTAAAACCTAGTAAACATAATTACAATTTTAAATGGTGGCTTAACAGAGGAATGTTCCCCTTGTGGTTTAAGTTCAGTTGATGTTGATTGTTGACTGTATTAATAAATACCTAACAGAATGAAAACTGTTGATTTTCATTGTTATTCTGTGGTAGACATGAGATGTCCATAACACCATTCTGTAGTGCAGGATGGTCCATTAGTGTACTTGGTACAGGATTATCTTGGGTCAAAGATTGATGGTCAATTTTGTGATCATAGCATCAGACCTTCTAGGTCTGGACCTGGACCTGAGCAGGGAATTTTCGGAGGAAATTCTTAGTTGGTGGATGAAGTAGTAGTAAATAGTTATAGGATCTCCTAAATCTGTTCATTATTATATCTGTGGAGGAGACGGAGTACAAGAAGTATCCTTTACTCTCACAGAGGACACTGAAGTAGTTCAAAAGCTTTACAGATGCAGGGCGCCATGAGTAGGCAAGATTCACCTGAGAAGCTAAAGGCGTTAGACATGGTATAGTGGAGCATGTCAGACCCCTCCTGTTATTTTAGAACCCCTGGCAATGTATTTTAAGTCCACAGATGAACTTGATAGTCAAAAAAGGGCCACTCTCTTATGGTTTGAAAGTTCAGTTTAGAATTTTCTATGCAAGTCACCTTTTCAAAAAACGACAGGGCTTGCTCGGATTTTTTTTTGCGTTTGTTTGCCCCAACGTCTTCGGCCAAGCTTACGCAATTGGCGTAGAATACTCTTGTTTGTAGCCAAGATACGGTGTAAAAACACAACAGTGACTTCTATGGTCACAACATATGGTTATCACAGAACATGGTGTAACACCGGAATGGAACAGCAAATTGGAGTTGTTCCGCAATTTGAACGGAGAACGCCGGAGAGCGGGTCCGTCGACGGTGACGTTCGGAGTAGTCACGGAGAATGTGGTATGGAAGCAAATGTGTCCCAATATTCAAATTAAAATGTATTAATAAAATGCTTTTTCATTTTCAAAATGAAGCTGCATTTTTAAACTCATAAATAAAATTAAAAATAAATAATTCAAACTGCAGGTTCATTTTCTTCTCCAAGACTGCTCAATTTGTAAATTTATTAAAATGATAAATAAAATAACGTTTAACATTTCACTTTCAAAAGGTGTCTCAACAAAAAGTGATTAAAATTCATTTTGAAATGTCAAATTTAAAAATTAATATGTATTAACAGAAATGCTTTTTCCTTTTTAAAGTCATAGCTGCATTTTATGACTCATAAATGAAATTGCTAATAGATAATCCAAACTGCATTTTCATTTTCTTCAAGACTGCTCATTGTGTGACACAACTAAAGAAATAACTAAGAGGGAAATGCTTTTACGTTTTCATACCCGCGCCCTCAAAAAGTGTTCCATAAATCAATTTGACTTCGCAATTCCAAGGAAGCAGGAGAATGACGTCAGTGGCAGCTCTTCTTCTCCTGCCCCAGATCGCACCATTATGCGTCTTGTACGTTAGGAGGCAGAGACTGCACGCAACATGCCGCTCCCTCATACCATCGCACAATCCTTGTGTTTGTGGCTGATTTTGTGAGAAGTATGTGTCCGCAGACTCGAAGACCGCAGTTTCTGACCTGCAGTTCTAGATCTCTTCCGCGACAGTGCCATCTATTTCCTTGTCCGAGTCAACATGGATGGCAAACGGAAAGTAAGTAGTAAACATGAATCAAATAGCTTATTTAATACCGTCAAACTATTCTTGTATGTATGTGTATATATATATATATATATATATATATATATATATATATACACTCACCGCCCTGTTTATTAGGTACCGTAGTACCAATTGAGCATCGTGTCAACACCACAGCCTACCTGAGTATTGTTGCTGACCACGTCCATCCGTTTATGACCACAGTGTACCCATCTTCTGATGGTTACTTCCAGCAGGATAACGCGCCATGTCATAAAGTACGAATCATCTCAGACCAGTTTCTTGAACATGACAATGAGTTCACTGTACTCAAATGGCCTTCACAGTCACCAGATCTAAATCCAATAGAGCTCCTTTGGGATGTGGTGGAATGGGTGATTCTTATCATGGATGTGCAGCCGACAAATCTGCAGCATCTGTGTGATGCTATCATGTCAACATGGACCAAACTCTCTGAGGAATGTTTCCAGTACCTTGTTGAATCTATGCCACGAAGGATTAAGGCAGTTCTTAAGGCAAAAGGGGGGCGTCCAACCCGGTACTAGCAAGGTGTACGAAATAAAGTGGCCGGTGAGTGTATATACAAACACTACAAGTCTCTCTCTCTCTCTCTCTCTTTATATATATATATATATATATACAGGGGTTGGACAATGAAACTGAAACACCTGCCATTTTAGTGTGGGAGGTTTCATGGCTAAATTGGACCAGCCTGGTAGCCAGTCTTCATTGATTGGACATTGCACCAGTAGGAGCAGAGTGTGAAGGTTCAATTAGCAGGGTAAGAGCACAGTTTTGCTCAAAATATTGAAATGCACACAACATTATGGGTGACATAGCAGAGTTCAAAAGAGGACAAATTGTTGGAGCACGTCTTGCTGGCGCATCTGTGACCAAGACAGCAAGTCTTTGTGATGTATCAAGAGCCACGGTATCCAGGGTAATGTCAGCATACCACCAAGAAGGACGAACCACATCCAACAGGATTAACTGTGGACGCAAGAGGAAGCTGTCTGAAAGGGATGTTCGGGTGCTAACCCTGATTATATCCAAAGAACATACAACCACGGCTGCCCAAATCACGGCAGAATTAAATGTGCACCTCAACTCTCCTGTTTCCACTAGAACTGTCCGTCGGGAGCTCCACAGGGTCAATATACACGGCCGGGCTGCTATAGCCAAACCTTTGGTCACTCATGCCAATGCCAAACGTCGGTTTCAATGGTGCAAGGAGCGCAAATCTTGGGCTGTGGACAATGTGAAACATGTATTGTTCTCTGATGAGTCCACCTTTACTATTTTCCCCACATCCGAGAGAGTTACGGTGTGGAGAAGCCCCAAAGAAGTGTACCACCCAGACTGTTGCATGCCCAGAGTGAAGCATGGGGGTGGATCAGTGATGGTTTGGGCTGCCATATCATGGCATTCCCTTGGCCCAATACTTGTGCTAGATGCCAAGGACTACCGAACCATTCTTGAGGACCATGTGCATCCAATGGTTCAAACTGTATCCTGAAGGTGGTGCCGTGTATCAGGATGACAATGCACCAATACACACAGCAAGACTGGTGAAAGATTGGTTTGATGAACCAATGATCAGATCTAAATATTATTCGGCCACTTTGGGGTGTTTTGGAGGAGCGAGTCAGGAAACGTTTTCCTCCACCAGTATCACGTAGTGGCCTGGCCACTGTCCTGCAAGAAGAATGGCTTAAAATCCCTCTGACCACTGTGCAGGACTTGTATATGTCATTCCCAAGACGAATTGACGCTGTATTGGTCGCAAAAGGAGGCCCTACACCATACTAATAAATTATTGTGGTCTAAAACCAGGTGTTTCAGTTTCATTGTCCAACCCCTGTACATCTCGTCTAATCTAGACTGGAGATTTAGTAATGATGTTTGATCTGAATCGGATAGAGACGTTTTTTATGTAATTCATCAATTTCTTGTGCCAAAGTTCTCTCTTTTTCTCTTATTTGACTTTTTCTCTTACCAAATTTAATAGATAATTGCCATACTCTAAATTAAAAAAAATAACATCTGTTATTGTAATTTCCAATTGAGGTATCAAATCTGATTTGTAAAATTAAACTTTTGATTAGATTACAATAGTTGCCCTCTTTTAAAAGATCAGCATAAAATTTCCAATAAGTGTTCCTCTTGTTTTTTATTGGTCTCTGATTTTAGTTTAAGATAAATAGAACAGTGATCAGTAAAAGGGGCACTTGATATTGATATCTCTGAAATATAATTATCAATCTCAGGCGTTGATAGCCATAGATCAATTCTAGATTTGTAAGCACCATTAGGTTTTATTCATGAAAATTGCCCGACATCTTTATTTTTGATTCTCTATCAATATATATATATATATAAATGGACTGAACTTCTATAGCGCTTTTCCAGTCATACAGACCGCTCAAAGAGCTTTACACTAGAGCCACATTCACCCAATCGCACTCACTAACGCTCACACACCGATACGCAGATCGGTAGGCAACTTGAGGTTAAGTGCCTTGCTCAGGGGCACATTGACATATGGCCGGAGGAAGTTGGAATCGAACCCACAGCCTTCTGATTGCAAGACGACTACTCTTCCTACTGAGCCACAGTCGCCTCATATATATATCTATCAATGAGTGATTGTCACAAAAATCAAGCAAGATTCTATTAGTCAGTTTGGATGGATATCTATCTAACCATAGGGTGCCATAGTGAAGTCCCCTCCAACCAAAACAAAATTAGTATTGTAAATGTTTTTATATTCTGTAATAACATCAGATATGTCAGATAATAAAAGCTTATTTTAAGTGGTATTATGGTAACCATAAACATTCACCAGAATAATATAACAATCGCTGCCAACCAATGACCAGACTTATCTGCCTTTAATGAAATCACCTGTCCTGGAAACCTGTTGAAGCAGATTGCCACACCTGCCGATCTGCTCGAACCATGGCTGAGTGGTATTCTGTCTCGCCACTGATTAGACCAGAAGCTGGTGTCTGAGGCACAGAAGTGGGTTTCTTGTAAGAAAATACAGTTAGATGTTTGACCTTTACAAAAGAGAAAAATGGCTTTTTGTTTTACATTGTCTTTAAGACCCCTTGAGTTCAGAGAATTGAAAGATAAATTAAAACAGGAGTTAGTTCAGTGTAGATTCAAGATTTTTGTTTTTTTTCTCTTCCTTAGGTTGTGAACAAATAAAGAATTCCTCTTTTAAATGTGAACCGACTTAGATATGAAGTTTGTTTGCTACATATTTTGAGCTCTTTAAATAGGGCTTCAGATCTGGATGAGTCGACTGTTTATGTAACCATGAGGCCCGCGGAATAAAGCAAATTTAACTCCGGCTTCTTGACAGATTTTCGACTCTTTCGTCATCTCCCATAATGCGTCCCTGTGGTGTCGTCTGGAGAACTGGATGATGATGTTGAGTGTTTTGTTCTCCATCCTCTTCCCGATGGGGTGCACCGTGTCCACGATGTCTTCCATCCTCTGCTCCCAGTGCGGCGCCACTTTACTCAGTAGAAGAATCACCTCGGCTATGGTATCTTCACTTAACCTTTCCTTTAAGCCTTTTAGTCGGAGAGTCCATCTTCTTTTATATCGATCTTGTTCTTTGGCTTTTTCCTGTAGCTCCACATTTTCAGCTTGTATACGTTTGACATCTTTTTCTACCGTTGCCAGCCTGGTCTTACATTCTTTTACCTCTGCCAAGATGAATTCAGAGGCCTTGGTAAGGCTACCGATAGCCGCACAGTTGTGTTTAGGCTGCATGCTAAGCTCCTCAAATCTCTTTTCCTGCATATCAAATCTTGCAGCAAGTGTATTAATAGCCGCTAGGATCGTGGAGTTTGAGACTTCATCTTCGTTAGTTTTAGCCATTTTTTGGGGGGGGGTACCTTAGGATGGTGAGGATGGGGCCGACAGGCTAATATCATCCGAGCTTCTTTTGTCACCAGAGCTTTCGGTCTCCATGCGGATTCCTTGCGCGTGTTCCATTTTTCGGGAGGCTTTTGCTGGTAGCATGTCGGAATCTTATATTTTTAAGTTAGAGGTGTTTGATATCAAAAAAGGTGGGGGTTTTAAAGTATATTAAATTATTTGAGGAATTATTTAAGAGAAGCGCACTAGTAGGACTGTTCAATCTGCCGTCTCGGGAGCAATGCACACCGCTCCCTAACGTACAAGATGCGTAATGGTGCGGTCAGGGGCAGGAGAAGAAGAGTTGCCACTGACGCAACTCTCCTGCACCGCTTGCAATTGCGAACTCAAAACGGGCATGAAAACGAAATATTAATACATTTTAATTTGAATATTGGGACACATTTGCATCCATAAATATGGAACCGTTTTCATTAATTAACATAACGGAGTTACTCCGTCGGAACAGAGCAGGAATGGAGGATGTGGAATTCTTTCACCTCCCTCTGTGAACAACTGTATCAGCTTCGCAGGCAGGAAGGAGCCGGCGGTGTTGTTTTTTCAAAATAAAATCTAATAATAAGATCTAAAATCTAAACAACGCATATATAACATGGAAATCAAATTCATTAACCAATGGAGGCCTGGATTTGGAGTCACACACAAAATTAAAGTGGAAAAACACACTACAGGCTGATCCAACTTTGATGTAATGTCCTTAAACAAGTCAAAATGAGGCTCAGTATTGTGTCTGGCCTCCACGTGCCTGTGTGACCTCCCTACAACGCCTGGGCATGCTCCTGATGAGATGGCGGATGGTCTCCTGAGAGATCTCCTCCCAGACCTGGACTAAAGCAGCCGCCAACTCCTGGACAGCCTGTGGTGCAACATGATGTCCCAGATGTGCTCAATCGGATTCAGGTCCGGGGAATGGGCGGGCCAGTCTATAGCTTCAATGTCTGACACACTCCACCCACATGAGGTCTAGCATTATCCTGCATTAGGAGGAGCCGTGCCCTCCAAAGAAATGCCACCCCACACCATTGCTGACCCACTGCCAAACCGGTCATGCTGAAGGATGTTGCAGGAAGCAGATTGGTCTCCACGGTGTCTCCAGACTCTGCACAAAGGCAGAGGTAGCGTTCCTGCTGCTGGGTTGTTGCCTTCCTACGGCCTCTTCCACGTCCCCTGGTGTACTGGCCTCTCTCCTGGTAGCGCATCCAGGGTCTGGACACTACCCTGACAGACACAGCAAACCTTCTTGCCACAGCTCGCATTGATGTGCCATCCTGGATGAGCTGCACTACCTGAGCCACTTGTGTGGGTTGTAGAGTCCGTCTCATGCTACCACGAGTGTGAAAGCACCACCAACATTCAAAAGTGACCAAAACATCAGCCAGAAAGCATAGGTACTGAGAAGTGGTCTGTGGTCCCCACCTGCAGAACCACTCCTTTATTGAGTGTGTCTTGCCAATCACCAAAGATTTCCCCCTGTTGTCTATTCCATTTGCACAACAGCATGTGAAATTGATTGTCAATCAGTCTTGCTTCCTAAGTGGACAGTTTGATTTCACAGAAGTTTGATTTACTTGGAGTTATATTGTGTTGTTTAAGTGTTCCCTTTATTATATATATATATATATAATATATATATATATATATATATATATATATGTATATATATATATATATATATATATATGTGTGTGTGAGGTATGAAATAGAGGTACGTATGTATGTGTGTATTTTTTTTTTGTTTGTTTTTTGCCGTGGGGTTGCGCCACGATTAGTTACATGTAGCGCAACCCTGCACAGTTAGGTCAAAGTGCCTTGAGAGGACATGTGTTGTGAATTGGAGCTATATAAATAAAACTCAATTGAACTGAAGTCTAGTTTTTACCATTTAAGAAAAGTAGCAAAGGTAGAATCTTTTCTAACCAATCATGGTTAGATTACTGTATTTCACTATCTCTGATTCAGCCAGTCCCCACTTAAATGTCTGCAGCTAGCTCAAAACGCTGCTGCACACCTTTTAACAGGAACACATAAAAATACCCCTGTTCTGGCTTCCCTCTACTGGCTGCCTGTGTATTTTAGAGTCCACTTTAAAGTCCTTCTGTTTGTTTTTGAGATTTTACAAAGCCTAGTCCAGCCTTATTTAACCGAGCTTCTCCACCAATACACTCCTGCTCAAGAATTTAGGTCTGCCGCTCATTCTCAGTTCCAAGCAGAGGCTTAGAGGGGAAGGGGTCTTTTCTATTGGGGACCCTAGGTTATGGAATGCTTTACCTTTGCACATTCGACAGGCCCCTTCAATGTCCATTTTTAAAACTCATCTAAAAACTTATTATTACTCATTGGCCTTCAACCCAACTGAGACTTGATTTTAGGTATTGATTTTATCAGTTTTATTGTTTGGTTTTTACTATGTTTTATATTATTTTAAGTTATTTAGTTATTTGTTTAAGTTATTTACATTGTTGTGTGTTTAGCTTTATTTTATTTGATGTTTTTTTCTTATGTAATTCTTCCCCAATATTCAGCATTCACCACTTTGGTTCAGCTGTGGCTGGTGTTAAAGTGCTTTATAAATAAAGTTAATGATGATGATTGTGGAGCTGGTCACATGGAGCTGGTCACATGGAGTACTGGGACAATACCTAAGTGGTAGCCTGGCGTGGTCATCCCAGCTTTTAGGCAAGTGGACTGTAATGTGTTTCAGCCATTGAGGGATCATACACTACTCACAAAAGCTTTCAGGTGAAATGTATAGAAAACAGAAAAGCTTCATGCTACAGTTATATCATAAAAGTACAAGTAGGGCATTTAGGTAGAAGCATGCAGTAGTGATGTCCTCATTATAAACAATTCATGGAATCAAAACCCAACAAGAGTGGTAGATATACCACAACAAAAAATGGTTATGTCTTAATATTGTGTCATGTGCCCTTGAGCATCAACTACAGCTTGAGGACAACATCTCAAGCTGTTCACAAGTTTACTTATTGTCTGCTGAGGCATGGCCTCCTACTCTTCTTGAACCCTGGCCTTCAGGTCATTGAAGTCCTCGGGTACAAAGGCTTTAGGGTTTCTATAGGGTTCAGGTCTGAAAGTGCAGGCCACTGCATTCAAGGTACCTCGGTTTCCAGCAGATTTTCTCCGATGATGTGACCTCGAAGAACTGCATCCTTGAATTTTAGCCTTGAATATCCCTAACTTTTTGTGAGTAGTGTACTTCTCAGCCACTCTGGTAAAGCTTAGGATGTTGTAAAGGTGCCTCCGACCTCAAATTCAGAAGGAGCGATTGGGCTTTGTTCTGTTCTCAAGTGTGTCTGATGCATGAACACATCCTTTATGCAAAAACGCATCCAGTGTAAATTGCTGCATGGCGCATACGGAACATAGTCAATGTGAACTCAAGTTAGATGTCTATTATTCAGGGGAAGGTCAGAGTAGAGCTACTACTCCTTGACATCGAAATGAGTAATTATGAGGTGGTTTGGGGATCTGAACAGGATTTCTTTTCTGGCTCCAGTAATATCACTGAGGAAAAGGATACCTGGCTTGCCCTCCAGGACCTGATGCCTCCATTACCTGACTTTGGAAAAGAGTAGAAGGATGTGTAAATAGATGAAAAAGGTTAAACTGTTGGCTATTGCATCCTTTCTAAGATATAGCCATACACAAAA